AAACACTCAGCGTGAATATAAATATGCTTCTTGTATGTGACCAGCCAGAGCGAGTAATGATGGTTTGCCTTATCAGAGATGAGTCCCAGATGAATTTTCTTGAGGTCTCTGAACATGGGAAAAATATTTGTTACAAATGATCTTTGGACCATGTTAGGCAGTTGCTTAATGACGAACCACTCTTCAAGTAAATCTCTCTTCAAGGACTGCATGTTTATATGTTTAATATTTGGATAGATCCTTAGAAAACCCCATGCAGGGAGGTTGAGTGCATCAGGAGGTGACCTAGTTTTATTTTTAATTTTTATTTTTTTATACTGCCATGAACATATCGAAAGAAAAAGTGTCATGACCAGTCTGTGTAAAGCCCCTTTTCCACTGGTCAAACTGGTCGGACTTTTTTCAGCAATGGAAAAGGGCACAATCAGCATTCACACCCAGGTCAAATGACTCTGCGGTAGTTGTGGGTATTTATTGGGCTCCGGTGAACCTGTAAAATTTTTCCCTTTTCCATCTTTCACAGCAGAAACACTGTCAACACACCTGTCACCTGCCCAGCACAGTGCTGCTAAACTAGAGACACTGTGGCTTCACATCGCTCAGGGATGAAAGAGTGAGCCGCAGCCCTGAAATAAGTTTTAAAAAAACACAATCACCGACCGAAGTGTCCCACACCGAAGCTCTGACACTGACAGGAGCGCCAACCTGCGGATGAGACGCAATAGATCTGTTTTACCAGTTTGCACGGTGGCTAGCAGCTCACTCTATCTCCCCTGCATCTGTGTGTGTGTGTGTGTGTGTGTGTGTGCACATGCTCTGTAGCTGCATCTGACATTGTGTGTTTCCTCTCCGGCAAACTTGACTGGCAGTATAAAATGAGTCCATACCTTATTAGTGGGTTTACCAGTGCTCAAAAAAACAGCTTACACCTGCTAATTTTGGTGTAAAAAGGGTACCAAAGACATAGTGCCGGTATCAATACTCTAAAATTAGCATTTATTGCATTGCAACAGTTTTTTAGGCTAATTAGCAACAGCTGAAATGCATAAAAAGCTAAATCACAACTTACCAACAATATTACCTCACAGTTATTTTGTCTAATGCATCAGCAGAGAGATCTCCACTTATTCATCCAGAAGTCATGTTTCTGGCTACCTCACAAATATAAGTTCAATATTTCCAATACTTTTCTCTTTGCTTTGGTCTCCACCAATGCCTGAGAAAAAATATGTTGCTTGTAAGCTGCTAAATGTAGCTTAGTTGCTAAATGTTGAAATTCGTTTGTCTTTTGTAGAGGCCGAGTTTGTGGACCAGAAGAGGCAGAATGACTCTGTACAGCTGTGTAGAAACTTTTCTATGTGTTTATCGCTACGAGAAACACATTTCACATTACATGCATTCATGTGATCCATTATTAATATAAAAAATGTCCATTAGTGCAGCTTTAAACCATCATAAAACAAAGATAATTTTGTTTGCATTCAGCAGATACAGCTCCCATGTGGTTTGGAGCGTGCATGCGTTAACAACTGACAGCCAGTGGAAGTGAAGCGGGAGGCGGGATGTCGGCTCTCTGTTGTTTTATAAATAGGCGGAAAATCACTGTTGCAGTCACACACAGACAAACGTTCCTTTATTGTGTATTTATGGACAGTTTGCACATTTATGATTTATCATTAGCAACAAGGATGATTCATCAACTGTAATAAAACCTCTCAGAGTTGTATTATTTGGAAAACAAATGAACATGAATAAATAATGAAAAGTGAATAAATCCGGTTGCTGTAGTTTTTTTTTTTCTTCCTTCCAGTGACTGAACTTTCTGTATACATTATAAATCAATTCATCTAGCAAAAACATATCCTAACTTTATAAAATATGGGTTTTCAGTTCAAGTCCAGTGTCTTCAAAATCATCCTAAAGAAAAAAAAATCTTTTGAAATCAGTAGTGAAATGTCACTATAATACATATTCAAGAAATATCATGAGGTTCTTCTCTAATAAAAACTGACATCAACCATCTAGAGGAAAACCTACCGAGGTGCACGAGAAAAGACATTCTCTTGATGGCACAGAGGGGGGTTTAAATTAGGGCTGATTATGTACTTTTGAGAGCATTTAGATATAAACATTCTACTTACATGTTCGTCTTCACCTTTTTCATCAACACTGAGGCAAACAGTGTAATCACATTTAATCAGAAGTTACACTTTATTTTACAGTCTGCGTAGCTTATGTGTACTTTATTCCCAGCATTCACAATAGAAATGTGTTCAGATATGTACTCTGGGGTGCAGAATTATTGCACCGATTAGTATTAGTGCTGACATTGATCCCATGAACTATAGTTCCGAATAATAAACAAGCTTCTATATGGTTTTGTTCATAAATGCCAAGAGAATAAGAAGGCTTCCAGGTGCAACACACCCCTCCCAGCAAAATGTTGAAACACCAACTTGGGGATACTGGACAGTCCACCTTAATATGTGTCTAATTTTGGTAGAAATCTAAAAAGATGTATAGTATATTAATATTGGATTAATATTTAAGGTATTTTAAGGATTAACATTTAAGGGATTATTTTAGGAAATATAAAAATGTTATTCAAATTTTTCCAGGTTTGGCAGTTATTGGCTGCTTTATGGTAAATTGTGACATAAACTAATGGAGCACTGTCAATTTTTTTAACAATTTTTTTTTGTTTAGTGATGGTCACCACATAGACTACATTTAGCTAGCACTGTGTGCTTGGTGGGACACTGGCAGCCATATTGGAGGCCTTAACAATCACTGTAAACAGGTGGTGTTTAATGTTAAAACAGAATTTAGCAGATATTTAAACTCTGTGCTGCTTTTCGTTATTATTTTTTTTCACAAAATGCATGTGTCTGATTTTGTATTTTTTTTTAGCAAACATTAGCTAACAAATCAATATCTGCTAATTTGCTAGTTAGCGCACTCCTGTTGTAGCTTAAACAGTGTAGCAGAAGCTAAAGTTAGCTTCTAGTTGTCATTTTACATTGACGGCAGCTACTTAGCAGACGAAGCTAAAAAAAATGTAAAGAATTGGCTATTGCTATAAGCTACAAAACAATATCTATTTTGCTAATTAGCACTCTCCTGTTGTAGCTTAAATAATGTAGCAGAAGCTAGAGTTAGCATCTAGGTGTCAGTTAACATTAATAGCGGCTGCTTTGTTTAAGGGGTTTGCTGTTAGCTTCTTAGTTAGCAGACACAAAAACAAATGTTAAGGTTAAGCTATAGGTATAAACTACAAATCAACATCTGCTAATTTGCTAATTAGCACTCTTCTGTTGTAGCTTAAATAATGTGGCAGAAGCAAGAGTCAGTATCTAGTTGTCTTTGAGTTTGCTGCTAGCTACTTAGTTAGCACACACAGCTAAAACAAAAGAAAGACACAAATGTTAAGATTAAGCTATGATAATTTTGGCCATTATATATTTCCAATATCTTGCAAATGCATTTCAAAAATGCCTTGAAAATGTATTTCTGCATCTGAAAGTAAACAAGAATAAGCATGTAGCCTGACATGTTCTGAACATATTATAAAGGTATATAGTAAAGAATATATTTAAAAAAGGGTTATTTTTTTCTTATCAGTGTTAAATATATTTGATCTAGAAAAAGAATAGAAGTCAATTTGGTTGACAAAATAATCTTAGTTTCTTTATCTGGGGCCTTCATCCCCATCTCACCAGTAAAAGATGCTAGTAAGTGTACCTATAGTGAAGGTTAATTTATTAAACTACTTTTTCCCTGGTCAATAATGAATGTCCACACTCAAAGCATAAATAGGTTTGCAGTAGTTGAAATGCATTTAAAATATATTTGCTCTACATTTGAACCTGATTTAAAATGCATTTTAAACAGCAGTGCATTTGGAATAAACAAGAAACATACTGAAAATGTATCAGCTGCATTATTTATGACAATACTTGAAATGGCCAAAAGTATTTTGTGTGCATAACTAATCACATACTGTATGTATTTTGAATATATCTTCCTTTCAGTTTACTGTTCAAGGGAAGGAAATTTGGAAAGAAATGCCAAGAGCGAACTACTTACAACGCTAGGTTGGGTTTTATAATGTATAGTTATTAATTATTCATGTAATATTTTCAAACTGCTAATTCTTCAACAGACCAACATTGTGGCTCCAGCTGTGGCTGTGAGGAGATTTGTGACACAACTGCAAAGCCTCTACAACACAGAGAGATTGTAGAATAAAGTGCACTGTAACTGAATCATACACATCTTTCTAGTACGTAGTTGTGCGCTGCGCAGCTTCAGACTGGGCAGAGGGCTCTAGGGCTCTCTTGGGGTCATTCATCAAGGTTGGACCGCGGAGAAATGTGCCTGTTGTTGGTATTAATAGCCTGGGGTGAAATAGGTCTTCTCCACTGTGGAGACGATCTGGCAACTCGGGTGAACCCTATCTCACTTTTCTCCACTTTTTTTTTCTGACACCACCCTTGTTCTGGGCCTCGTCCTCCTCAAGCTGTTACAGCAGGAGAGACAGCGAGTGTCATCAGAACATTTGAAAACACCCTCATCCCCATCCCAACCCTATACATCACTCCATGTACTCTTTGCTATTGCCCGGTTCCGTAAATCATATTACTCTGATAAATTCATGATTGATAAATTATCTTCTCTTTGTAGACAATAAAATTAAAATAATTTGTGGTAATTAAGGCAGTCTTTCCATTTATAAACAAGACATTTAAACTCAGAAAATGTAATCGGATAGGAAAAAAATGAAAGGTTGGACTTGTCCTTAAGAAGTCATGTTTACTTGCTCCATAGTTAAAACCTTTCACGTTTTGTTCTTCAATCTCTCAAGGAAAAAAAGTCTTGTAAAGTTCCCAAACATCTTCTTCTCCCTTTTATCTGATCATCTTGTTTCCCGTGGAGTCCCTCTAGACCTTATAGAAGCCTGGGTTTCTACATTTCAGCAGAGAGAAACCTCAGCGTTGGAGTTATACGTGCACTGACGGCACACTCTTGTTGAGCACCTGCGCCCTCATCAGCTGGACGCTGGTCATGATCTTCTTCTGGTGGCCCATCAGTGTCACCCCGAGCCTCTGGATGTCCCTGTACAGCGGACACATATGAACACATTATGGCCTAAATGCACGTTACGTCTCAAATCCAGAAAAAAACCCCCCACAGATATTTGACATATTCTCATTCGATCTTTTTGCATGAAAATGTTTATGCTGTTATGTTTAATTTCCTGTATCTCAACTGCAGAGGTCTTCATGTGAAACAGCCTGCTATTATACACAGGCTATTTTCCATAATTTCCCATTTTTAAGTATAATTTACCACAATGAACCTGTTATCTGAACTTTTCATTTGTTGTTGATATTGTTTTGTGTTAATGCAAACTCAATACTTCTTCCATGTTTAACTGTTGTTGTGATAAATGTAGGATAATGTACATTTTCACAGCATTAATTCCATTTCATTTCTACTTTGCTGTCCTTTCAGTCGGTGTTCAGGCACCATCAGTGGCAACTTTTTGGGAGGTATTTGACCTTTATTAGAGTGGCTATGTGACAACAATGCGACACTGTGATTTGAGTCGCTCATAGTGATGAACCGACAATTATCGGAATCTGCTAACAAGTTCACAGAGTAGTGAACTACATGTAATAAAACTAGTAGTTTAACTACATTTTAGAGTAGCTTGAGTGATTCAAGTAGTTCAATTACTTTTCTACCTTTTTTCCCCAGGCAGTCTCCACCACATGCTTTGTGAAGCACATGTGCAAAAGCTTAGGGCGTTGCTCAGTGCGCACCCAGCTGCAACATCATCATGGATAAACCTCCCGAGTCTCAGCCTGAGGAAGAATCACCGCGGCCATACTGAAGCGGTTATTGTTTACAAAACCAAAACTGACATCCAGCACTTTCCCATGGATAGTGAGGTATTTTAGTTTATTGGTTTATGTTACGACCCGTGAACAAGTAGGCCTTTTTGCAATAAACTGGCTTGTGACTTTTGTGTATTATATTTTGTTAGAATTTTGTATCACATGTACATTGTCAATTTGATCCTGTTTTTCTTTTTTTCTTTCTTTCTATTTTTTTTTTTTTATTCTAAGAAGCTTTAGTGAACCAAACTAGGTTTCTCTCTAGCGTAGCTTTGCTATAGATCAGCTTGCAAAGCCATGTTTTCAAAGTAGCTTCTCCAACACTGCAACCAAGATGTGATTTGTCAGTGTTGTGTTCATGACACCAAAAAATCAACTATTGTAAGTTGAAACAGTTTAAAAGATATAGACAGGAAATGAGAGGAAAGAGGAGTGCATATCATCCTGCAATTGTATTTGAACTGAAATGAACTGGGGATGTTGAATTGAGACGGTTTGTATCCAACACAGATGTTCAAATTAAAAGCCTTTTGAGTGGCTCCAGGGGCATTATCCCAGCCGTCACTGATGGGCCTCCATATATACATCGCTGCAGGAACTTCACTAACAGCAGCTTGACACCGATCAAATCAGCAAAGACGGAGCCATTGGAGCTATTTAGTGAATGTGAACAGTGTTTCTGTTAAAGAGAGATTTGTGGTTATGACATTGTGACTCACCATGTCAGCAGGTCAAACTGATTTTATCTGTATTTGCTGAGATTTACCAGAAGCTAGAACTTACTTCAATCTGTCAGTCAGTCAGTTTAAGCTCTGTGTGCAACGGTTTCTCATCCTGCGGGGCCTTTGCAGTACATCAGCTGGTAGAGCCCCAGCAGCTAACTACTGCCAAAGTTAAATGTTCCCCCATCACCTCTGAACTGTTATCACTCTCCATCACAGTCAGTACTTACCCTTGGTTCATGCCTATGACGTGTCCCAGAGTGTGGTACCCCCCTGCTGCAAAGTGCTCCTTGTAGCGGCCCATCTTTATAGTGTCCAGCCACTCGTCTACTGAGCTACAGCTACTGAAGTCGGGGATAGCTCTCTCCATCAGCGGAGGACTGTTTAAACTGCGGCCAAGAGTGAGAGAGAGACAGATGGCCGTAGATAGATAGAGAGAGAGGAAGATGAATGGGAAGACAAAAAGATTAGTTGGAGAGAGTCCGAAAACAAGAAAAGAGTCAAAAAGTGAGCGAGAGCGAGAGCGACTGGGGGAAAGGCTGCTTTGAAATGCACTAGTAACCGAGGCAGAAAATCAATAGCAGTTAAAATGATAGAGAAGAGGTGGCGGCTGTGGGTGCAGGATGGCTGCTTTGGGTAGATTAATAAAGAGAGAAATCCTTAACACTCCTCCTTCTCCTCTGCCTCTTCCTTCACCTACCGTTTCCCTCACCTCACACACACACACAGACACACACACATGCACAACGCAGAAGCACAATGCCATGCACCACTGACTCCATACGATCTGGGATCTGAACTGAGCAATTTACACAAGTCCAGCTTCAGCCCAGATGTCCTCTCAAACCCGCTTCCACATTCAGCGCGGATCAATGTCAATATCACAGTCGGGCTTTTACTTAACGCACAGCGCGTCTATCAGAGATGAGCTTATTGGAAAACGAACACGACCGCTCGCTTCATCTGCCAGAGAACTTTGAGGGAAACTTTACACCGCAACTTTATCCCACCGCGCTCATGTTTGATAACAGCGGGATGAGATTGGATTTAGTCTGCCTCCCACCCTAGGACAGTTACTTAGTAGCCTAACAGTCTGTCACCATATATTGTCCAAGAGATCATCTTCTCAGCCCCGTGCAGGCGGTGTCTTGCTTTGATTTGAAGCTTAATCCGCTAATCACATGAACCAATATTTGATTAAATTTTGGCGAACAGTCTGGCCAAATTAAATCAAAAAGACTCCTCTGCATGTGACACAGTGCACCCACGTAGCTTCGCTGCAAATATGGATCTATTCAGCGGCCCCGCCCACCTGCAGAGCGTGTCCATAGACTTCAGGTTCTCTGGGTTGCGGATTAGCTTGTCGAGAACGGTGACTATCTGGCAAAAGCGCGGCCTCTCGTTGCGATCCTTCTGCCAGCAGTCCAGCATGAGTGTGTGTAGAGCAGCGGGGCAGCCCATAGGAGCAGGCAGCCTGTAGCCCTCTTCCACAGATTTGATCACCTGCACATGGACAGCAAAATAAGGATGAGACCGCAGTGTCTAGCATGACAATACACTGAATGTTAGTTATTGGGCCCTGTGCTCACATCTCTGTTGGTGAGGTTCCAGTATGGTCGCTCTCCGTACGACATCACCTCCCACATGACCACGCCGTAGCTCCACACGTCACTGGAGGAGGAGAACTTCCTGTAGGCAATGGCCTCCGGGGCTGTCCAGCGGATTGGAATTTTCCCACCCTGTCAGGAACATAACGAAGTTCGACCAAGATATCAAAGAGTTTCTGCGACAGATTTAGAGGACATCTTAATTTACAGAATGATTACCTGACAAGTTTCTACACTTTTCCTGTTATTGTCTACTAATGCCAAACCAGGAATGAACTGATCTTACTAACAAGTATTTCCTATATCTGATGATGTAGCCTCTGTGCCATAGAGCTCCATTTATATACAAAAACGGGTAAAAATCCAGGTGGAAAGTGAAAAAGACATGTTCTCCTCAGACTCAACATTTAAAAGCTAAGTCGACACTTGGAGGTTGTCAAAAACTCATTACATTTCAAAAGAGAACTGTCAACAAATATTCTCAGATGCTGTTTGAACAGCTAAATGCAGGTAAACAAGTGTTACTCTGGTATTATCAGCAAAATGTGGCTCAAATAATAAAAGTAAAAAATTAATGACTTAAGCATGAAAGTTTCAGCATATAATTTGCATACTCCAAGGTTTTATTTCAGATGTGGACACAATTTGCATCTGACCTCTGGTGACCTTGAGAGGTCATTGACCTCGGCATTGCATAAAGATGCTTATTTGCTGCTATGGCCATGTAACATAATTTTGCTTAGACCACCATATTTGCCAGGGGACTGCGGGCCCCTTCATTTCCAGGTGTTGAGGTAGCTATAGCTCGTTAAAAACACTGAAAACTTCTGCTGTGTGTTCTATGAAGTCACATGACTAGCTAGCACATTAGCGAACATTCTAATCAGAAGCTAGCATGCTAGTTGGGTCTGGGTCACACTCATTACTCCAGGGGGCTCTGCCCTGTCCCAGGGGTCACATCTGGAATGCCTCCACATCTTAAAATAAACTTCATGGTTTATAGAAGCAGAGGAGAAAGTTTCATGCTTCAGTCATAAAATGCACAATAACCTTCCATATACAAGCTTATCTGCTGCAATAAGTTCATACTGTTATGTTTACTACTGTTATATTATGTACACAATATAATTATTGCTGTATTATTACCAGTGCCTTAATTTGTAAATAATATAAACTATTGAGTTGCTTAATCTGAAACAATGTATCATATTTTATATGGGTATCATATATTTTGTATGTAGAATTTTAAAGGGCCCTTATTTTCCTCCTCTCCTGTGTTTTATTTTGAAGTGTTGATCCATAAGAAGATTATGATATTTGTGGTTGTAAGAACCAAAAACCATCTCAGTGTAGCCTCTCTCAGGCTTCTCTCTGGAGCTCTAGCAACAACAGGTCAGTGAGCCAATCAGAGGAGATGAGGCTCTGAGTCTCTCTTCTGATTGGCTGACTGTTTTCTGAGTGATCTAATAAAAATATAGCAGATTTCAGGTAAACACTTAGAGAAACCAAATCCTGCAAGGTTGGATGGTGGGTCCAAGTGGGTGGGGCTTGGGGGGCGTGGCTGCTTTTTTGTGACATCACAAAGTTACAGAAGTCCTGACAGCTGGTTTTAAGGCGCAGTTTCTGAATACAGGCTGTGTGCATTTCTCTGTGGACTGAGCACTTTGATACTTTCACAGTATTAATACAGAACCTATACCTGCTTTATCATCAAACAACACATGGACATCTACCTTTGTACTCTATGGGACCTTTAATTGTAAAAGTATCAAGTAAATAAAGCATCAAAATAGAGGTAAAAGTGAAAAGTAAACAGTTTCCCTTTGAAATATAGAAGAAAATATAAGTAGTTAAGTAAAGTACGACCTAAAATGTGTACTAAAGTACAGCACTTGAGTAAATGTACCACTGAGTAACTGTTCATGAAAGCAGAAAGTTAAATTGTGCATGAAAGACTAAAGAGAGCTGGTGTGGACGTGTAGTCAGGACAAGAATAGACTTGCAAATGTTAGCAAGTACGTGAAGCTCTTACATTATTTTGATATAAAGCTGACACTTAATTAGGCTGACAAATGGATACATCACTTCTTAAACAAACAAAGTGCTCCCTCCGGGCTATTTTAAACATCTGAAGGTTACTCTCAAAACGCAGCCCATTACAGACACCTGATGTCCTGCTAAATATTAAAACCAGCAGCATGACCCAGTGGAATTCACTAACCTTACTTCATTATCCTATCCTAATACCTGCAGGTTCTTCAAAGTGACTTTGCTGTCACTTTGATTCCATACAATAAGCAGCTTCACTCACGTTACCCAGATATCCTGACTGTAATTTGAACTGTATTAATCTTCGGCCATTATCAAACATTAATTGGAGATGTGCTGTAATGACACTGTATTGTGTATAATATCACAATCTGAGGTCCTTATCCCCTTCAGAGTGTCTCTGAGTGATGCTGCATGTAATCACCTTGCTTTGTGTAATCTGATCGCTGCGCTTTAACAGACTGTAACAGACAAATGTGTCAAATGCTGATTTCCATCTGTGTGCTGCGAGCTGATAGCATCAGGCTGTGGAAGGAGCTACCTCGGCCCTTTTTTAGTTAAGACTTAATATATTTGTTCCCATGGGGCTGCAGGTTTAATATCAGGCTGCTCTCAGCTGAAGCACTTACAAAGATGATTTTACTTTGCTCCCACTCTTATGAGACTTTGATTGTATTTTTTTTATATTGCTGTTGAACAGTTGTATTTGTCTCTAACTTTTACGTTTGCCTTTTTGCTTCTCTCTTGGCCAAATCTCAGTGGAACTGTGTACTTAAATAAAGGTTTTATAAGAATACAAAATACATTTGAACTTGTCTGTTTATTAAATCTGAAGACATGTATTTGTTCAAACAAAATGATCTGATAACTATGATCACATTAAACACACAGTATATAATATAGCTATATATTCTCTATATATTACCTATCTATATATTGTGTTACATTATAGTTTCTATTATCTAATCACCCAGGGATCCAGTAGAAACACTATGTTTGCTGATCTTGTTTCTCTGATATCTAATGATCCAGATGTATGAAGATGACTGAAATCCTTCATCCAGTTAAAATATATAGTGAAAAACAACTAATATGTAAAAAAGTGTATTGTAAAAATGTGGATTAAAACCGGATAAAAAGTCAATTTTGACCCTCTTGATTGATTTCTGTAGGTGTGAAAATTGCTGGAAACATTTGGGATAATGTAAGTATGTAACTCAACAACAATATATACCATGGGTCTAGTAGTTTTGGGACATTTTAATGTGGAAAAGTTACAGATTATAACTTTAGGACAAGAGCTCAGATTTTACGCTTTGATCTTTTTGGTATCTCTCTCACATGCAGTTTATTGAGAAGATCTTTCAGGATTTGTGGGTTTTGAAGTTCAATATTAAAATACTTGCTGCTCAAGGCCGCTACTATGCCCCAGAGTTTAAACAATAAATATCAGTTTACTTATCTAAGTGATACTCAGTGAAAACAGTTGCTTTATGTCTCCCATGGTTATGGAGTCGCCTCCTCTCTGGAGGCAAAGGGGTCATAACTCCAGCAACACTTGCAGTACAGAACATCTTTATCTTTAGACCAACGCTTTTTTGCCTTGTGGCCTTAATCAAGGTCATAACAAAATATAGTACAAGCAACATTTAAATAGGTTAAGTATGAGACAGAAAAACATATAAAACAGCCAACCATATGCATCCACACACCCATGAGCCACTGCAGCCTCTACAAAGATGGGTTAGGCATATGGTGATGTGGCTTTAGGCCAATTATTGTCCCAGGCTGATAGAGAGGTAAGGGGAATGTCCATTAGAGGACATGGGTGACACCTTATGTAGTCCATTATCTGGTAAAATGCAGGTTAGGGGTAGAGGCCTTAAAACACTAAACTTTATGAAGTGTGATACATACAAAGCTAACAAGATGCGACATAAAAACCTGTCATAAAAAAAGTCACCGTAAAAATATATAAATGCATCCAAACCTCTGCAAAGCCACATAATTGAGTAATAATTGAGGAAGTCTTCATTCTTGCCCCCTGGAAATAGAAGTCAGGATGTTTCAGCCTCTGCGGCTTCTGTTCTTAATCTGTCTCTTGTGAGTCCTCCAACTTCATGGAAGTACATTATTAAATCACTGGAGTATGTCAAATCTGTATAATGCTTCCTCACTGCATGGAACTCATTATGATCATGTAACTGTAACTTTAACATAAGATGATGTATATATACCTACATACTTTTTAGGTTTGTGCATATTTTGAATTACTGTTTTTCTCCAGTCTCATTACATGTGACTGGCGCTCCCTGATACTGACCATGTCTTGTAAACATCTGTGCATGTGTGTGAATGTGTGTGTGTTGCTGCATTAATGCTTGCCTCAATGTGAAAACTCACACTGGTGGTGTATGCAGCATCGGGGTCGTCCTCCAGCACTCGGGACAGGCCGAAGTCAGACACCTTGCACACCAGGTTGCTGTTGACCAGGATGTTGCGGGCAGCCAGGTCTCTGTGGATGTAGCCCAGGTCAGACAGGTAGGTCATACCGGCCGCAATGCCGCGCAGCAGCCCCACTAGCTGGATGATGGTGAACTGGCCGTCGTGTCTCTACAGGAAGGCAGAGAAGAAGAGACAAAGACTGATCAGGAGGGAGGAGGCAGGGAGAGAAAGTTTGAACAGCAGATAAAAAAAAAAAAGTGATGGTATTGCAGAAGAAAAGATGAAGAGTGATAATAGAAAAGATTTTAATCAAGATAGAGAACAGAGTAAAGATAAGAGAATAAAACATGACAGAGATTTGCTTTTAAGTTATAATCTGCAGTATTTTCATATAAGCAAACACTGGGGATGTCTGACATTGTCGATGTAACACAATGTTAAATCAACCTACAGCGTATCTTATTAAAGAAAACTTTAACCCATACTCTCTCTAACCCACCGGTGGCTGAGCACTGTCTCCTGGCAACAATCTTCTAATACACAGGAAGTGATGTGTGTAATATTTCTACTTTGTTAAAACCCTAACCCTGACTCCAAGCATCCACTGACAGTCTTCTAGTCACCTGCTGAGGGAAAAATGATTGAGTAAGCATGATGTCGCTCTCCTGTGAACAGTGTGTAAGTTGAAGAATGACATCTTCCTTAATGTGTGGAGAAAAGCCTTTTGGAAATCCACTGGATTATTCAAACAGATGCTATAAGCTTAAATCAAAGCTTTGGTTAAAGTTGCTGAGAAGCTTACATCTTACACATGATACACATTTTCCAGTTTCCCCTGGGCATGGATGATGATCAGTGATGTCCAAGCCCAAGGAAAAAAGACACACACTAATGTCCACACATTTAGATGGACAACTGAACTTAGAGAAATACAGTGAAAAATAAATTAGCACCAAAGACTGACACAAAATGAAAAGCAAAACAAGATACTCTATACTAGGACTTAAATGGTTTTTAGCTGAAAGCATCGATACCAACCCTGAGGAAAGAGTCCAGAGAGCCGTTCTCCATGTACTCTGTGATGATCATCACCGGTTTACCTGGAGAGACAAAAAACGTACCGGATTATTCCTGTGCTGCACTGAACATCTAAACTATATGAGCGGATTGTTAATGATTACTATATAGAACCAAATATAACATTAATTCTGCTGAGAACGCAAAGGTCTTTGTGTGATCAGTTAAGAGCTGGTACTTTACCACTGGCAACTGAGGTAGGCAGATACAAAGGCACCCCTGAAGAGCAATGTTTGTGTGATTTATGAGATCTCTGGGTTGTTGAGGATGAATTCCATTTTGTATTCCATTGCCCTCTGTACTCTGATCCAAGGAAATATTCGTTTAACGAGATTCAATCGAAGAATCCTGATCTGATTTTGTGTCCGATGCTGTTGTGCTGAGTTGGCTTTTTAATGTAGAGACTTTTGTTTTGGCAAGATTGATAGGAGAAGCCTGGCTTCAGAGGATGCTGTATCCAACATAACTGATGGATTTGAACCTCATCTAAATTTTGGAAGTGATGATTTCTTATGTTGCCATCAAGTTTATGGTTAAGTGTCTTGTAAGCCCATAGGCTGGGCACCAGATATGGTGCAGGACACTCGATTAAACAATATTCATTCATTCATTCATTCATTCATGCATGTTGAAAACTTATTTACTCAATATAAGAATGATTGTTTAAAATAATTATAATTATCCATACAAATGAGTCACAGGTACTCTGGATAATCCATAGACCTGAAACAGTTTCCATGAAGACATGTGGCAGGAGCACAATGTTGGAAAATTGTTCTATTATATAGAGACACTTTGGTGTTTTCAAGGCGAGGCACACCTGCAGCACACGTGTAAACAAGGTGAGATCAGAGAGAATATATACATTTAAAAATGTCGTCTAGTTTTTTTGCGTTGTATTTCTTTATTTTTAATCTTTATTTTAGATGTTTGCTGACAATCTGGTAAAGAAATAGTTGTCTGCTACATCTTTATATTGCGGCATAAATGTGATCCTGATGTGATCAACTATGTGACCCACACAAATAAATTTGGAATTTTAAAATAATAAGTCTTTGTTTTTGGAACCACCAAGATAAAATGTAACCTCAGTGGACAGCATGTCGGTGATTGCAGCAACATGTCTACCTGTACTGTACACTACAGGTGTTACATTGAGCAGACTTGTTAAAAAGAGGGCGCACCAGTTGTCCCGTTTTAAGTGGAGACACCGGGGGAGGAGAAAGGAACGGATGGTCCTGAGGGAGGTATTAGTTGTTAAAGAAGTTTTATTTAATTAGAGATTTTTCATGAGACTGTGTAAACTATTTCCAGTGTACCGGTCTCCAACACGCCTGTTGATTTGCAGTAGAAACTATAAAATGTATCATAAAACTAAAACCCTGAGGTTTCTGTGGTTATTTTGCAGTCTGGTGCGTGTTGCACAACACTGAAGCAGCAAATCTGCCAACATGACTCCTGGTAGAGGCTGCAGATGGAACAGACAGCTGCTGCCTTCAGACGGCTGAAGAAGAAGAAGAACTCACTCATTAATCTGTATTCTGTCTTTTCACCTGCATGATCACACGTCAGCTGGTTGAAAAAATTAAAAATAAAAGAAAGAAAGACGAACAAAACATGAATAGAGGGTGTTGTGTGATTTTAGAGAGGTTCATATAGGTGTGATAAAGTGACCGACAGCTGGCCGGCAGTGGAAGGCGTAAAGCGCCCTCATTCTTGGCACCAGGATTGCAGTGTGGTACTGGAGTCTCGTCACCACACCCTCTTCTGGGCCTTTCATCCCAAGAGGGCCAATGGCTGTGTGCCAGCACATCTACAGTAACACCCACAGGCTCAAAGGCTGGGAGGGCGATAGGCTGCTATTCATTGTGAATGGGACCCGGCACAGAGGTGGTGTCATGAAATTATTTGCAATATAAAAATCCCAGTAGAGATTCATTTTACTCTTTACTGTGTGTAGACCAAAAATGTGTTTTTAATATTAATCATTAAATTCATGCTCTGTTCCAGATGCAGTCTTATTACATCTCTTATGTTCTAGTCAATTATCCTAAAATTGACAGTATATACTGATCTATAGTTTCAGTGGCAGCGTACTCTGTGTTACCACGCCCTCCAGGCGGATGACGTTGGGGTGGTCAAACTGGGCCATGATGGAAGCTTCAGCCAGGAAGTCCCTCTTCTGCTTCTCCGTGTATCCAGCCTTCAGCGTCTTCAGAGCCACTGGGATGTCTCTTTTCCCCGGAAGCCTCATACGCCCGTAACACACCTCCCCAAATTCCCCTAAACACAAGAGCAGACCAATTCAACGCTTTACATTCGACAATAAAAAATATTCCACTGTACTGAACATGCCCTGTGCTTAGCTGCAAACCTACAGATGTAAATGAAAATGTGTGTTAAGGTAATTCGCTGCGTTAGATAAGGGAAACAAATCAACTCATAGGCGGTCTGTCCACATATATGTGCACAACCTGAGGGGAGCTAATCATCCATCAGCGTCTTCCTCGTTAATGCTTATCCTTATCCTCCTTAGTGTAATTCCTGTTATTTGTCTTCCTCGGGTCTGTACTTCACACTCCTCTTTGTGTCTGCAGGAGTCACATGCAGCAGTGTATTGTGGAGCTGACACAGTGTTAGTATTCCCTGCCTGTCTAAGGAGCTTTGATTGACAGCCCCACGCAACGCTCTGATTCCGCTCTGTCATCCTCCTCTCTGCTGCACACCACAGCCTTTACACCAGCCAATGATTTTAAGTTAGCTCAGCCAATGATTCTCAGTGTGTGTGTGTGTGTGTGTCTGTGTGTGTGTGTGTGTGTGTTAGTGCACACAAGTTCATGGTTTTACCTGAACCAATGATTTTCTCTATTTTGATCCTGGAAGCTTCAATTTCTCGGGCAAACTCGTGGACCGCCTGGCAGGGGTCCTCGTATGTGTGTGGGTCGATATAGAACCTCGCGTCGGGGAATGACACTAAGATAAACAACATTACCATTTGGTCACATATCAGAGAATGAGAGCAACATCACATCTGAGCCCCTGTCACTGGTGTGTGGAGGGAGAGATGATGAAAGGGAAGAAATGACTCGGAGAACGGAGCAGACAGAGGGAGGGAGAGAATAAACAGCATATAGGGAATAAGGCCTGTGTGCTTCTGTAATCACTCGGAGCGAGATGAAAATTGTTTGCTCTGAGGATGAACTTTATTACACGGGGATGAGAATACGAACTCTTCAAGGAAGGCGATCTAATCTATCATTGGTAATAATTGAGGAATGGGTCAAACATACCGTGACCATTCTGGTAATGCATCTTCTCCTCGTCGGAATCCTGGAAAGCTTTGCTGTAGCCACAGTGTCTATACAAATCACACACACACGCAGCCAGTCATCCAAACACACACATGCACACACATAAACATACAGCGGGATGAATACAGGACAAAAGTGAAACATTTGTACTATCAAACTCTAACTATAGCTCATAATTAATTAATCAATAATTGTTGGGAATTAATTATTCACTTCAACAGGGCTTTTCATCACTTATTTGTAAGGAACAATCAGTCAGCCTGTTAATACAGTTTTTCTTTACCCTCGTCAAAGAACTTAAAGGGGCAGCACACTCTAAAAAGACATGTTCTCTCATTTACTCCTCGTGGTATCAAACCACTCAGGGAACACGACTGTGTTTGTCCATCCTTCAGACTTTTCCAGCCGCTCTAATACAATAGAGGTGAATACAAAATGAATTTTCATACCACTAAGAGTGAGAGAGAAAACGTCCTTTTTTCGCATTTTTGGTTGACCCATTAAATTCATTTTGCCATTACCTTTTTGTTATTGATTATTACCTTTTTATAGTAGTTAATAAAAAGGTATCTATGGATATGCTTCCATGGCTTCAAGTAAAAATGATTAACAGCAATATTCATGTTAAGACGTCACAATAAACACATCTCAAGAAGACATTTAGGACATTTAACACCTCGTTCACAGACAGACATTCAGAAGTGGCGGCCTGTCTCATGCGTCTGTGGCTTTTTGGGCACACTTGAAATTAGGCAAGTGGTTCACATACTCAACTCCTGTGTGCAATCAAATTGCTCCCTGTGCTAACGTGGTTTGGTACGGGCAGGAAAGTTACTTTGAAACTGTTGTGATGGTCTGTTCACGCATACAGGGCTCTGCGCTCAGTGCAGTCAAATGCACCTCACCCAGTGAGCTGGAGGTGGTATTTTCCTGCAGTGCACTTGGAGATAGGGTGGGGGTCAGAATGAATATATTATCATGGTGGCTGTGTTAGAGGATCTAACAATCATCGCCAGTCACATTCACCACTTTTATCCCCTTTAAACACAGGACTCTCCCTGTCACTGGGAATCCTGTGAAGAGTTTCTCTCAGAGGAAACTCTTCCTTGTCTTGGATGTATAGAGTTTCAAAAAATATGAACAAAGCAGTTCAGACTGCCAAGAGCAGATGATGTGTCTTTTAAGTTGGATCCACTTTTGAATTCACTTTAGACACCTTGATGATCTTACGATCATCATATTTTCTGTGTGTAATAGTGCGCCGTTTGATCTGTCATACAATTATCCATAATATAACCACCGTGGTGCCATTTGTACAGTGAGGGTAGAATCAAAACTGCTGTCAAGCTTTTTCGTGTTGCATTTCCTTATTCCTGGAATGATTTCGTTGTTTAATTCAGTCTAGCTTTGCCTGTTTAACATGGAAAATGATCGCTGACAACTTGGTAAATAAATAGTTTCCTGCCTCATCTTTATATTGCAACATAAACATGATGCTGATGTCAGGGCACCTTGGTGGTTCATCTGGTAGAGCACACACCACGTGGGCTTAGTCCCACCTGCAGCGGCCATGGGTTCGAATCTGACCTGTGGCCCTTGTGGCTGCATGTCATCCCCCGACGTCCCTGTCTCTTTTTCACTTCACTATCTGAATAAAGGCAAAAATGCCCAAAAAAACTAAACATGATGCTGATGTGATCCACCAAGAAATTATGATTTTTAAAAACGCTTTTTGTTTTAGAAGCAGCACCATAAAATGTATCCAAGCAGCTTCTATCACCTCATGTTCATGATGGCAGTGACGTGTCTACCTGTATGGTATTTACCATTACGGAGCTCCAGGTGTTACAATGACCAGACGTGTTGTGGTTACTCACCGTTCTGAATAGACACACATTAGTAGGAGGAAGGAAAAGGGGGTTCTGAATGATTTAAGTTTAAAGATCATGGTTTGGGTTAGTAAAAGTACTTCCTTGAGGTCAGAAGACCTTTGTTGTCATGGTTACAACAACAAGTTTGTCGCTCCATATACTGCGTCGCCTGACTTCCTCCTTTAATAAGCTGTTTGCAACGGTCTTAAATTGAACCTGCGTATCTCCTGCAGATAACTGTGGATTGACAGTGCGCGCCATCACTTCTGCAGATGGAATGGATTCCTTTTGCTTTCAGAAGTCTGTAAAGAGAATCACCAGAGTAAAGGAAGGGCCTTCAGCATAGAGTACCTACTAACTGTCGTGAATTACAGATAATTCCCTCATGAATCTTTTTTCTGTCTGTCTGGCATTAATATTATAAATGCAACTTTTTTTGTCTGCATGATCACGTCAGTAAAATTCCAAAGACGAGCAAAATACGAATAAAGGGATAAAATCGTGTGGTTATAAGGGGGTTTATATGGGTGGGATTTTATCACTTTACTATAGAATAAAAGTTCAGCAGTTGATTGCAATGCACAGAGCGAGGCACACCCTCAGCCACACCTCTCCTCCAAGGTACCAGCACGGCAAGTGGTGCAGTCAAGAAAATAATCTCAGTGCACCGCAGGAAAATACCATGTTTCTGGTGTGCCACTGTATTTCGCACCATGCACTGGCAAGAAAATAGAGCCCACAGACTCAAAACCTGGGAGTGATAGACTGCTATTTGTAGTGAATGGGACCTGGCATTGCAGCCCAATCTGACGCAATGTGAGCAACAACCAGGTGAGAGCCAATCACTTTCACTTTAATGCCAGCGGTAACAGAAGCACAGAGTTGTTTACTACTCCCTCCAGCACAGACGCAGGAACGCAGAGCCGATCAGTCTTCCCAGCTCTGATGACTGTGTTGTATTTAAAGTGTTTCAATAAGACTGTGTAAACATATAAAAAATAAATTAAAAAAAAGACTATTCTGTAACTCAGGAAACACACTGTGCAACAAGACATCAACAACTTCCTCATGTGTGCTTCCTACGAGGCCAGGAACTTCCCACCACTTAAAACATGAAGCTTTCAGAGTAGCTTGTAGCTAGTGACGTGACAAGCTACTCTTCTTTGGAAGTGACACTACACCTTTGTCGAAGGTCGCAAGTTCTACAAGTTACTGAAAAAGTTGCTTTTGTGGAGCGGAGCAAAAACCAGTCTGTGCTTCAGTTTCCTGTGGGAATGAAAACAGGCACTATTGGCTGTGACTGAGCTGCTGGGCACTTTTCTTATATCGGTGGCCGACGGCAACACTGAGGCCGCATCCTGTCACTTCATCAGTGTTTGAGTTCATATCTGTGAACGTGGTGTTTGGCATCTCTTAGGATTCCACTTTGTGTGGTAGTAACCACTGCTAGAAAATTTAACCTCCTTGGTAGTATAGTAAAGTATTAAATAAATAAATAAATATTAAATAGCTATTATGAAAATAGTAGATTATTATTAAAATAATAGATTTGTTAGTCCATTTCAAATTGAAATATTTAAAAGGCACATGGTATTTCTGTCTGTACAGGGCTGGTGAGACATCCACACTTCTGCTAAAAGCTAATTTGCCAATTATTTGTTATAATGTCCCAGTAAGTGATGAGATGGAGACATTAAAACCATCCATAAGTCTCTAGCATGCTAGCATAGAATACACTATCTTAAGTGATAGCAGGGCACTAGCATTAGCCAAAGTGTGGTGTTTTATTATCCTACCTTTAAAGATTAAAATATCATTTAGTCAGTAGAGCCACTAATTCATCTGCTGTGCAGTGAGGGGTTTTTTTACGCTCATTATAGAGGTGCTGCAGGAATGAGGCCTAAAACTGCAAATTAGTTGCATTTTAGCACTTCTGGTTCCCTCATCCTGAAGTCAATGGGTTTTTGGTAATATACCTGAAATGAAGTCTGTGGTTAACACAAGCTCAAGACATTTTCACATTTCATTCTACAACATCAAATATGACAAATATGCTTTTATGTCTCGTGAAAAAGGCCGGTTGCTAACAAGCGAGATTACAGAGGTTTTCAGGGAGGTTAAACATCATCACGCCAAACATGAAAACCAACCTACTCACCAGTCCACCTTTACAGCCTGGTTGTGTTTACACCATAGACACTTCTGCAAACTATCACTAACTTTGAAAGAGGAAAGGCTTTTGTAGAAGAGGTAAGAGATAAATAGAACTACAAGTTGAAGGTTAGTGTTGGCGACATTGAAGTCATGTGACCATCGTGTCAGTGGTTTATGGCCTAACATTAGCTTTTTACTTGATTGTATTTAGGCTTCAAGCATCATAAATTGGTGTTCATTAGTGAAGTTTATCCCCCTGAACAAAACGTGTCTGTATCATAAACTGCTTGTCACAGATCTTATTAATTCAAAAGACAATGTAAAAATCCCATTGGCTTTTTGTGGAGGGAACCAGGGTGATACTAACATCTAGGATGGCCAAGAAAAATATGTCATCCCTGTGGCACTCTACTCAGGTTTACTTCCTGTGTTCCCAGTAAATCTGTCCCTGCTGGTTTCTGTCACAAGGACTTTTTGGCTTTTTCTCATCAGTTTAATAGTAGGTTGGCCAGAGGCCCAACTCCCTCAGTTTCCTTGAAAAGGAACATTTTAAATTCTAAACTGCACCAAGATTGAGGATGTCCTTTTTTCAATCCTCCATCTTATAGTGGCATTAAACTGGGCTTTGCACTCACAATTACATGATTTTGCCTGGATAAAATCTTTAAATCCTCCAACTTATTTTCTTTCTCCTCAAACAGAATGGAAATGAAAAACTTAATATGCATTGAAATACGAATTAATTAAGTGCAATGAAATTAATTATTCGGTGCAGTACTACAAAGATGTAAGTTGAAGACATCAAAAGGGAGGAGAGGGGGGGGAGGGGTTGATGGGATAAGTGGGAACGTTTGGCTTGCAAGCTACTGGACATGAATCAACATAATTAAATCCACTATGAGGTGGAAATTATGACTTGGAAAATTAGCTAAGTGAGACAGTGAGAAGACAGGGTGGGTTGAGGAGATGAGAAGAGCTGAAGCATTAGTTTTCAGAACTCCTCTCTACTCATGCAGATTATTTGTGCACCTCTGACATTTGGAACATTTAAACATGACAAGTGGGACTAAAGGTAGTTTAGCTTCTCAAACATGGGCTTAAATGAGATCCCCCCCTCCCCCCCTTCCCTTGTCGTTTTAAGGGTTGCAGTCTAAGAGAGCTTCACACAGAGATGACACAACCTCACTCTCCTTTTACTTTCAGCAAATACCACACAAGGCAAAAGCAGCGGAGAAATACAGTGCACAAACAGTGTTTATCACAAGCAACAATACACAAAGAGAGGCACGGTAGAGTAGTGTAAGAAAGTGTTCCACACACAGCAGCGATGGGTAGTGTGGTAAAGTGTAGCCTTGCCGTTTCCTGCAGATGATGATGGCCAGAAAAGTCACGAGGCCGGACACCAGGGCCATGCAGATCCATATGATGGTCATGGTGTTGTAGCGCAGGGGAGCTGCAAACACACACACACACACACATGCACGCGCACACGCGCGCACACACACACACACACACACACACACACACGAAGACACTGTTTGAGCTGAGAGTTTTCAGTTTACACTGACACACTGGCAAACACCGGCGGCAGGTAGAGTGGTCTTGGTTAAACAAGATAAACAAGAACTTGGAGCTTCATTAAAGAGCTTGACTTTTCTAATTAAATCCTGTTTGTATTTTGAAAGTGTGTCTGAGGCATTATGGGTAAGAAATATTCAGCACAATGTTGTCATCTGGTTTGAAAGATTGAATGTTGTCCGGTCTTAGAAGTGATTAAACCTCCACCTTTAAGTAGATTGTTATAAATACTTACATTAACACATAAGATCTAGACAAACAAAATGTTAACTGTCTTAGACGTAATCTCATAGGCCCATCAAAACAGCCTATAATATAATAAGAATGTAATATAATAACTTTTTCCATGTAATAACTTTAATAACTTACTACATCTATTATGTGATCTTATTGTATGTTTTTGTGTCTGTTTAATTAACGACATGCGACAGACAAAAATGACTAAGTGCATTTGAAGTGTTTTATGGGATTTTTGGTGAGAAAAGGGACAAACAATCCCTCCAACATGGGTTTGTAAACCTTAAACTGCCACAGTGTCAGAGGCCGAGCAGAGATCACTGCAGAGATCAGGGCTCAGCTCCTGGAAGCGGGACCTCCAGCTGGTTCAGGCATTGACCACTAACACACACAACCGGTGCTGCTGGTGTGTGGGAAGGGAGCGAGGGAAGCGAATGAGTGATGATGTCGAAGTTTTTGGAGTTTTAACTACTTGGGGAACGGGGCTCTGGATGAGTCGGCACAGCGATGTCCCCGAGGCTAAAAGGGCTTCATTGATTATTATGTAATGCACTGAACATTTTTATTATATTATGTGCAGGCTATTACATTATCAGTTTTAAGTATTTATTTTTATGACTTTATACGCATTTATTACAGTATTTATATCCTTGTTTCTTGCATCTCATGTATAATTTAAAAAAAAGTGTGAAGTTTCCAAGTGAACTTTTCTTAGTCCCTGAAAGTCAGGGACAGTTACCGGCTTTATATTTTGCAGCTTTCACCCAACGATTACAAACTGCATTGAAACACTGTGATGGCAGAGAATGAGCTGCTAAAGGGCGGCTGTGTCAGGAAGTAGAGCAGGTTGTCCACTAATCAGGAGGTCGGTGGTTCGAAATACTGAACCCCAAATTGCCCCTGACGGCTGTTCCATCAGTGGTCTGCTTACCATGCATTAGGGATGCACGGTATCATTAAGGTTTTAACGGTACAACTACTTTTACTGATACTGTTTATTGATCCAGTATTTTAATGGTTATTAGTACCTTTTGTTACTTTTTAAGAAAAAAAAAAAACATTGCTTATTTTCTCATATATACTCAATTAACATTCTTGAGTAGCTAACCTCAACAGCATTGTTTTGACCCCCCCCCCCCCCCCCCCCCGTGCTCTGTGTGACCTGAAACTTTAACTGAATTTCTGAACGGCCGTTGAGGTGATGCTCTGTCCATTTCACATTGAATTTAAAAACACACCCATAACAATCAGCTGGTTAATGGTTACTTTTCATCATTAACCGTATAATCTAATTCTCTGTGTGTGGGCTCCAAGCTGCCAGCACACAAAACACCCCTGGCATAATGATGGATGAACTATGTGCTCGGCAGCTGAAAACTGTACATTTCTCCACCTGTGTGTGAGTTTATTGATACTACAGTCTTTAAAAATGTAGCCCCGGTAACACCGGGTTTTGATACCCATCCCCATCGTGCAGCCCATATATGAGCTTGTCTTTTATTATGTGTGAAGAAATTATTAGCAACATTTTCTAACCATGTTTATGTGCCAGCTTTGCGCATTCAGAGTGTGTCTAATATAGAGACTCAAACTTCACCTTAAGTTGCCAGTAGGCAGTGGTACAAGAACTATTTTCAGTATAAGAGCAGTATTTATTCATTTGTTATTCTTGTAGAGTTAAGTCTCCATATGTGTTGAATTATTTGCTTGCATGTAGACTCATTTTCAGTTTTCTATTTTCCACAAAATTAGTACCAAATTCCACATGTGCATTCATCTTCCTGTGGCAGAAATCTTTGCAGACAGACTGACACAGGTGAAAAATGATGTTGGCAGCACAGACACATCCGTCACTACTGCCTGGTTAGCAGAATAACTCACCGTCCCAGAGGAGACCGAGCAGGTAGGGCACATATGCTCTGAGCAGAGCGAGTCCCCGGTTTGACTCCCAGCAGGCCAGGCTCTTTGCTGCATGTCATTCCCCTGTTCTCTGTTCTCTGTCCCACCTCCTCTCACTCTGCACTGTCCTATCAAATAAAGGCTTACATATCCCCAAAATGCAAATACCATAAACACAACACAATGTTCTTATTGGACTGAATATTAATGTGAAAACTTAATGGCTGAATGATTTCAGGTGATTCTCAGTTCACACCTAAATCAGGCTTTTGTTGTTCAGAGTCACTCAGACCTGGACACACAGAGCCGTGTGCAGAAGGACAACAGACTTGACTGTGCTTGAAAAAGGCTACTGTCTGTTTTCCATAAACTTTAGGACGTATTGATTACTCAGCATGTGGTCCTCTTGTTCTCAGAGTTAGAAAATGAATCAGCATCAAGAGGAGGAGAGTCGGGGTCGAGTGAGCAGCAGAATGAAGGGAGACTATTAGTCAGTGGAACAGCAATGGGACTCCAACCAGGCGGGAGGTTGAGCTTTGCAGACCCTGAGTCTGCTCTGCACGTTATCTGCCAAAATCCCTATTAGAAAAGAAAGATATTCTCATAAAAGCTTCTTTTTTTTTTTTTGTAACGCCTAACTTTCTGTGTTGTACTTGCCTCTGGTGGAAAGACTCATGAAGACTTCTTCCCCACCGCAGCACTGTGTACAGTTGTTTGAAGCTGGGATAGGCTGCAGTTCTGCTGACAGGGGTGACCCTCTAACAAAGCACAGATCAATGCAACAGAGGGATGGACTGAGGCAGTTATCGTGCTCGTTGACACCCCAGCCCCTTTAGCCCTGGACCATGCTGTGCAGTCTGGCCTGGCTTTTAGAAACTTTCTGTTCCGAGTCTTTTAACAGAACAAACTGTTTCCTTACTGGACTTTTTCCACTGTATTGAACAGCATACAGCTGCTGAGGGGTTCCTGTGGCTCTGGGCAGAGGCAATTCAGTGATACAGTATGTCCTGTTTGTTTCTTTGTCTATTACAGACCATCATATAACACACGCACACACACGCTCGCACGCACACACACACACACACACACACACACACACACACAGACACACACACACACACACACACACACACACACACACACACACACCTGCTTTCCCAGTCTGAATCTCCACATTCTGGCTGAAGCGTCCACAGCCTGCTGATGTTCTGGCTCGGACCTGGAAGATGTACTTGGTGCCCGGCTTCAGCCCTGACACTCTGGCGCTGGTATTTTTAGACTTCAGAGTGGAGTAACTCTGCTCTTCATTATCCTGTAAGAAAAAAACAGCCACATGTAAAGATTAGCGTTGAGGAAATTGAAATGCTGGTCAGCTCATGAGCTCGCTGCATTTTCCCCCATTAAAACATAAGCACTGCTGCTCCAGAGTAACACGTTAAAGACAGCAGTTTATAACATGGGATGAAGACTGTAGATTTATACATTTTACAACTAGAAACATGTGTAAGCTTTGGTATTATAATGTTTCATTAGGTATCTAATTTCCTGGGATTAGTCAAAAAGAGTCTTTCCAGTCTGCTTATCTTATCGTGCTGGATTTGAAAGAAAACAAAGAAATATAAGTCGAATAGATCACAACAGACATGTTACAGTTACTAACACCAACACATATTCTAAGACGACTTCAGTGTGTCCAAAACACCTGTCTAGCCTCTGATATGAATGCAATTAATCAGTTAATAATCATAGTCATAGATGATGCACCTAAGAACAAAACTGATACAATAAGCAGCACATATGAAAACAAAACTATACACCCCATACAACCTTTAAATATATTACAATACTGTATACAGGGGTAAACAGTATATACACAGGGGTATACAGTATAGGATACAGTGGTATACAGTATACATACAGGGTTATACAGTATATGGATGGTAAGGATCATATCTATATGATCCACTCCTGGTCATTTTAATCTCAGATTGTACATTAGCTAAATCCAAACTTCTTTGGGGTTAAATTGGATCACATATAAAACTGTAATTTTTGGCTGCATGTCATTAATTGCTTTTAATGTAGCTTTAAAGTTATTATTATAGTTTTTGAGATATTGTCAGTGACCATCATAATTGCTATGATAATTACTGAAATATGCTACAACCAGCTAAAGCCAAACCAAAAGAAACCCTAACCCTGAACTCAACTAAACTGAGCTGAGCTGAGCTGAGCTGAGCTGAACTAAACTAAACTAAACTAAACTAAACTAAACTAAATTAAAAGGGTGCTGTTATTCTTCAAAAAGACTAAAGGTAATATTGTATTGACTCCATTGTTTTCTAAAAACTATTCATAGCTCATCAATGAGCCACTGTTGACATGGGTGATGTGATATTTCATGACGTCATTTGCCATGAAAACAGACACTGTAGTTTCTGTTGACTCAATCCCAGATACACACCGTACACAATCAAAAAATATGAAGTAACACCAGTGTTTATAAAGAAGGCAGATGACACTAAATGAAAGCGCTTTACCAACACTTTTAAAAATCTTTTCGTAACTCATATATGTTACGTAGATTTGTCGAAGCCAGTGCTGTGCATTGTTATCATAAATGAACAAAACCTTATCTGCCAGTCAGGTGTAATTGGCAGCCAATTGCCTCACACATCTTTTGATCTGCTTTTATCAGCTAGAGAAATGACAGCAGCTCTGAAAAGTGTTTGTCTTATTTTCATGTTTCCTTTCAAATTATCGCTTCATTTACGATGCATCATCTGTTCAAATGCAAATTGTCAAGCTTGTTACACCTACTCACTATTCAAACTTTAAGTTGTTTTCATTTTTAGTTTTTTTCTTAATGTTCATATTCATTAAAAAAGATGAAGCATTTATTGTTTTGAAGGAACGTGTTCTTTTTTGGAAGTCTCAATTAACAATAAAGTTCATCATTCTCATCATCATCATCATCACTACTGTCCTCATCTTGCTTTCATCTGCCTGCTGCAGCGTATTCTAATTTGGAGATACTTTCTAAGTTTTGAAGTAAAATAAGTTCAACAACAATAGGAGGTGCAAGGTGCATCGAAACAGCACAATAAGTGAATCATTCATGTGTCCTTGGAAAGGATAAGAGCCTAATTATGAAGAAGTGCAAGGTGAAGAAATAAGAGCCTTTTTTTGTCTTCATTATCATCCTCAGCTAGAGTGCTGCAGCAGCGGCCGCCACCCTCGCTGTGACTCATTGTTGTTTAGTACAGTACTACAGAAACCTTAAGAAAGCACATTGCTGACTTGTCCACTTGAAATCCCCCACAGGCGTCTCGCCCCCTGAGCGAGGCCAGATTAAGACACCAGCGCGAGAGGCGAGCTAATCCTTCAGCCCCTGCCCACACCATCCTGCTCGTATGGCTATGAGACTGCCTGCTCCCTGGCTGCTCCCTCTGCAATTAGCTGATTTCTATCAACACACACACACACACACACACACACACACACACACACCCTTGTCTTACTATATTTGTGTAGACCTGTCATTGAGATCATTTACTCTCGAGCCCCTTACCCTAACTTTAACCATCACAACTGAGTGACCTAAACCGAATTCTAAAACAAAGTTAAACAGCCATTTAAACTTGTGGGGTCCAGCAGTTTGGTCCCCATAAAACTGTCGGACCCCACAAGTATGGCTCCTGGTTTTACAACCCCACAAATGTAGTAAAACAAGGCAAAATACATACACACACACGCGTTGTTTGTAAAGCTATCTCAGTAGGGACAATTGACATGATGCATTACCTAACACCTTACCCTAACCTTCAAATTTAAACCAAGTCTTAACCCTCAAGCAGCCCTTCAAATTTATGGGGTCCAGCATTTTGTTCCCCTTAAGTATAGTTTGGCTCCCAGTTTTCATGGACACCATTCTGGTCCAGATAAAGCTGTCGGACCCCACAAGTATCGCTCCTGGTTTTAGGACCCCATGAATATAGTAAAACAAGTATGCACGCACGCACATACACACACATTGACGTACTGCATTCCCTAGCCCCTTACCCTAACTATCACAACTGCATGCCTAACACCAGCCTAAACCTAAACCTAAGCCATGGTTGTATAGCTATCTTTGCGGGGACCTGTCATTGACATATACATTCTCCAGCTCCTTAACCTAAAACCAAGTCTTAACCCTCAAACAGCAATGTGAAGGTATGTCAGAAAATGAGAACATGCCAAAATGTCCTCACTCTGTTAGGAAAATACTTTTTTTGCTTCTCACTGTAGCATTCACAAGTGTACACACACACACACACACACACACACACACACACACACACACACACACACACACCCTTCATCCAAACACACATGCACACACACACACACTTACAGCAATTAGGTCGTCACAAGGCTTATGCGCCCGCCAGCCACTTGCTGTCACTGTCACTTTCACTAAGTTGCAATCTACACCGTCTCATCCTCTTTCTTGCTCTCCTTCTCTCGACCCCCATTTCCTTTCAATTAGCTGAGCTGCCAGTAGGATCTTTTTCCTGGATTAAGTTATCCAGAGTCTATCCCCACCGCCACTCCTCTGCGTTCACAATATCCTGGCTCAGCTTAGTCGCAGCCCTTTGAAGACAATGAGCTTATGTTTTCCAGGTAAAAGTGATGACTGTGTCACTTTTTTTCCTGCCTAAATAGTTTCATGTTAAGTGAAAATAAACAATATGTTGACACAACCCTAAAGCAGATGATGTTTGGGCTCTATAAGAGTGGTACAGGTGCAGCAGTTTGTTGAGTACCTTCTCATAGTATTTGATGTCATACTCCAGAATTACTCCGTTGGGCTGGTCGGGCTCGTGCCATAGCAGCGTCACGCTGTTCTGACTGGTGTTCTCCTGGCGGATGGCTAACACTTCGGAGGGAGCTGCAAAGGAAACAGGAGAGATTACTGCTTTGTCAGTTCAAAATGTCATTAGCTTGCAGTGAAGCCCTGTTTACCCAGGAAGTGCATTTCATGAATTACATTCAAACAAGTTGATGAAATGAGAATGAACCTATGAAGACGCTGGTACTTGGATTTGCAGGGACTGCAGGGTTATTGTACAGTTGGATGACTTCAACTTCAGTTAGAGTGTAAATAAAGATGGATGTAACCTCTGTGACATCACCCATATGTTTCTGAAGAGCAGTTTTGAAGCTCAGAGTGAGTTGCTCTGCCGTCACCATCTTCGCCATCTAACTCTGGGCTAATCCAGTGGTGCAAATGTGGCGCCAGGACTTTGGTGTCCAACAGTTTGTGACAAGTATACGCTCACCCACCTGTCACTCAAAGAAACATACCCTCAATTATACATAACTTAAAGCCTTAATAAAATTCAGACAGGTGAGTTATATAAACAGTTGTCATCAAAAAGGAAATTAGCTTTAGAGACCAAAACTGTTTTTTGTACCAGGCTGTAAACATGTTTATTTCTGCTGTAAAGTTGGACATTTTAACATGGGAGTCTATGGGGATTGACTCATTTTGGTGCCAGACTCAAGTAGTCATTTGAGGAACTGCAGTTTTAGGCACTTCAGTGTTGGCTACATTTTTCAGCCCTTGTGGTTGCTGCTTGATTCTAAGACATCTTTGATACATTTAGGTAATTCTGGCAGATGTGATTGTCATGTGATTTCAGGGCCTCAGAATTAAACATTGCCTACCAAAATGACAAACCTATCCATATAACTGTTTGTTGATCTGCCAAGACTATGGTTAAGGTGTGGTTAGCTTATAAAGCTGTTACCTAAAAGGTATTAACTTACTGTACACATCCAGCAGACACAGAGCAACATGTGTTTCTATGTTTAGCTCTGGTTTGGTCTTCACCGACTCTGAAGGGGAAATATTTGACTCTTTAGCTGCTAAATGCTCCATTATGTTCGCTAGGTAGTCACCAACTTTGTCTGTATGCCGTTTGATGCTAGGCAGGGAGTGTGCAGTGGGTTTTTTAGAGCTTTTTTACGTAAAAAACCAGCTGAGTGCTGCTGGAAACCAGAGTGCTGAGAGTGGTGAGAGTGAACAAAAGATTAAACTTTTTTGCCAGAAAATGTTCTGTAGAACCAAGAGGAACTGAAAAAGTCAGGCTATAAGTAATTCATTATGTCTCTATTAACAGCACTCAGAGCCCGTTGTCACAAAAAGATATGAATAACTACAACTTTAAAGTTATGGAAAGACAAAAACAGCATACAAACAGTGCTCTGGTCTGTCAGTGAATGAATTTATAACATTTCTGATTTGACACCATGACACTCACTCACCACTGCATTCTGTATAAATAAGTTGGTTGGTTCTCACTGGCGCAGAAGCCTGATAAACACCCGTACCTATTCATCAATAAAGCCCTTATTGGACATTCACCACCCTATATAACATGTATACTCAACTGAACCATAGGACCCTATCAACTCGCTCTACTAACTCTCTAATGCTTCAAGTCCCGTGGGTTTACACTGAACTTGGAAAATCTGCCTTTAGTTTTTGTGCAGTAAACACAGGGAATAATCTGCAACACACTCTAAAGATCAACACACTCACCAACCCTGGACAATTCAAGACAATGATCTCCAACCACTTCATCTCTGTGTGCAAATGTTTTCACCGAGTATTGTTCTCTTTTGAATTTCAACTCTGTATTTGTGTCTATGTTGACATCATTGCAAATGAGGGAAACCTCAATGATCTGCAAGGGTCTAATAAATAAATGAAATGCAATGATTTCTGCCTCTATTATAGACACAACACTCCACCCCCCACCTCCCTAAGACATCCCACAATAACAACATCATGCTTCTTCCAAGATGCAAGATTTCCCTTGGAAAGGAAGAATGAGAGCTGAGAAGGTGGAGCACTTGGTGGAAATATTGCAATGAAGCCTCCATGAAAACATTTTTAAGTTCATGAAAATAAATCTGAGGATGCAACCTGTTGCTGGAGAAGTTTTCCTTCATGGTTTGCTTAGGGAACACTATGTGACCGAATCATGGAATAAAATCTGAAGTGCTGAGCTCACAGATGGAGCGGATTTGCTGGTGCAGTTCACGTGCTGGAGGCGAATGATCACACAGAGCTCTTTTCTTTCTGTTCAATTTTATTTGCAAGTCTCAATGATCTTCTATCTTTTCTACTCAGTGTGAGTCAATCATTTGAGTCCATAACCACGAATCAACACAAGTTTTCTCTTCAAACAACAAAACCTCTGAATCAACCCAAACTATCAACAAAACCATTGATTTATTGGTTGAGTTCACACTATTTCAGTGTATTCAACCTGCTGAGATCTTTTCTAAAAGGGAACTGGCTGCAGAATAAAAGCTGCTCTAAAAAACATGCAAACTTTTTCCAAGCTTGTAAAGTTCAAAAAATTTCAACTTGACTACAGGATACAATTAATTTTGCATCAACCAATCGATCGAGGGTTAGCACAACCGCAACAGAGATCAGAATGTAGATTACATTGGTAGCATATGGTCAGTATGGAGCACAGAGATGTCAGAGATGGACATGAGTATTGTTTGCTGACAGTGACAGCTATTCCAACCAGTCCTTATGGACACAAAGTGTGTGCGCCAAAACCTGGTTTTTCATTATAAGCACAAAATGTGGTTGAGACAGCACATTTCTTTTAAAGATTGTTATTTTGGCACTTTTGCTAAATCCGACAGCAGAGAGAGAGAGAGAGAGAGAGAGAGAGAGAGAGACGGCAACGGGAGAGGAGGAAGACGTGTGATCATAGGCCAAGGCTGGATACACATTCAGAATGATGCGGCTGCAAGTGAGACAGCGACATGGCCAATGGTTTCATTTAATGTTTTGCTTTTATGACGTTTCTCTACTTTGGAATAGTTCACAGTGAGTGATTCAAGGTCAGAGTGGAACCCAGGACATAACAGTTACTGCACACAATGCGTCACCTGAGCCATCCTGAGTAACACAGCATCCTTTTCTATTCATCCTTTGTCCTATCCTGTCTTCTTAAGTCTTTAAGCATTTTTACACCATAGGAACCAGAGAGCCAAAACCTGGAGCTTCCCAGAACCTGTGAGCTTTTGTTGCCAGGTTTCTGATATGCAGCAACACCACCTCAGATACAGGCTACACTATGCTACTAGTAAAACTGTGTAGACAACATTGGAATAATTGGTCCTACTGCTGAATGCATTTCAAGATTTAATTCTAATTACTTTTTGTTACATGCCATAGTGTTATGATGTTGTGCGTGTGTGTGCGTTGTTCTGCCCTCCCCTTTTATCCGGCAGGTGACTCGGCACGGCTGATCCCTGTTCCCCAATCAAGAGCTGGAGCTATAAAGGTGCAGTGAGGAGGCCTGGTGAGCGCCACAGAGTGCCGTTCACTTGCTGATGAGCTGTGTGGCGTCTTACGATAGCTGCATGCAGTGGTTTAAGTTTCCCACTGAGTGTTCCACTGCTGTTTTTTTGTTATAGTTTTCTCTAATTGTGAATAAAATTCCATATTTTTAACTGAATCTATTTTCCTGTTTCTTTTCTGTTTTGCCCAGTCCTTATTTTATTCATTGTTACTTCCCTGTACCACTTGACTCTCACAGGAAATGTAACACTTTTAAACCGTAGTATTCAAAAAAAGAAAAAGAAAAAGAAAAAGAAAGGTCCACACCTGCACTAGGATATTTAAAAACACACTTCCTTGCAGTACTTAACTAAACATATGTTTTATAAGTGCTGCGTTGCCTCTGAAAACAAGTTCTTGATTTCCATACCCCACTTCATTTCCAGGAACAGGAAACAAAAGCAGAAGCCGCAACAGTGGATCCACATTAACATACATATTGTCAAAGTGATAGTTTGGGTTATTTCTCATGGGGTTGTGTGAGGTACCTATCTGTACTAGTGTATTACCTGCAGTAGGTTCGGATTAGCGTGCACCCAATTTGGAGAAGCAGCAGGAGCACCAGCACGGAAGCTGAGCATTGTGCTGCTGTGGACTGGGTCATGCGCAAAAACATATTTTAGCAACTTAAAAAAACACCCACAGAAAAAAGCTAATATCACTTTAAGTCTAGATTTTATTGTGAATATTTTCACAGCTTTATCCCACCGTCCAACAGCCATTTACTTTGGAACTACAGTTTGTGAACTAACCCTAACCCTACCGTATTCCCACGCACAATGCACTCTCTGTATTACTCTGCAGATCAGCCGTTTGAGTCAGAAAGAGCTAAGTGTAGGTGCGCTTGTGCATAGGAATATGGTAGTTCAGTGGTTGAAAAAATGTAGTTCCAAAGAAAAGGGCTGTTCGATGGTGAAATAAAGCTGTGAAAATATTCACAATGAAGCGAACACTTGCTTGATTCTCCAAACTGGGAGCACACTAATCTGAATCCACTACAGGTAATACACTCAGTATAGATTAGTAACCCATATAACCCAACGTCAAATCACCTGAACTATCACTTCAAGTTAGTGGAAAAGACTGACATGATGAGAAACTGTCACTGTTCTGAACCCTACCTGCCTGGTTTGTCGTGATGTTGACCAGGGCGTACAGTGATGGCTCGTTGCTCAGGTGTGTCACCGCATTCATGGCCAGGATGCGGAAGGAGTAGTTGGTGTGGGCCACCAGGTTGAGCACCGTCACCCAGGGCTCCGTCAGCCCGGCCTGGCGGGGGACAAATCGAACTGCCGCAGACCCCAACCGCTCCACCATCCCACCTCCCCCGGCCCCGATGCTCGCCACTCCACCTGCTTTCCCTCCATTGCCAGTTCCCCCTGGCGAGGATGCGCAGTCCTCGCAGGGCCCTCCTTCCCCCGAGCATTTCTGACACAACACGCTGTACTGCAGGTCGCTGCGACCTCCGGTATCCAGAGGGCGATCCCACTCTAAGTTCACAGATGTCCCATTGACCGAGGAAATGACATTTACTGGAGCAGATGGAGGGCCTGGAGAAAAGAAAGATGGAGGTTTGAGTTCATTCACAGGTTTGATCGCCGTCTAAAAAAAAAAAATAAATAATTTATAAAAAATAAATAAATTGTGTTTTTCAGGCACAGATAAGTTCGGCACATCATTCCATGGTTGCTGTGGGTTGAGCGAGTTTATTCACATATGTCTTTGGACTGCTTTCAGGTGTTCTCGCCTGTGGGATTAGGTGATCTTGTGTACCGCGTGTTTGTGCTTACGGGAGCATGGAGCTGCTGGCGGGTCATCCGCTGCTCGATAGTAGTTGGAGTCGCAGGGGCAGGAGAGGGCGGCTCTGGTCTCTGAGTGGCTGTGTTGAGGACATTTACCACACAGGCCATCGCCCGCCACCGGCTTATAGAAACCCACCTCACAGGCTGCAGAGAGAGAGAGAGAGAGAGAGAGAGAGAGAGAGAGAGAGGGAGGGAGAGAGAGAATAAATAGAGTAAATAGAGAGCTTGCAGGGAAAGGCTCTGCACTCCCATAATCACTCAGACCATGATAAAATTGAGAGAGAGTGCAGCAAGAAAGGCATGAATCACCCTCCTATAGCAAGTTGTGCATATCAACGCTGCTTCAACTTTTTCAAAACTGTGTCATCTCCTCCAAAGCATTAATTTTAGGACATAGCCCCCCTCCCTCTCCTCCCCCCCTCTCTTCTAAATCTATGTATAATTACAGGCCTTGTAACCGTAGAGACTGCGGAGCAGGGGAGATGAAAGTCATACTTCTTTCTGCTTAGATTTGGGCTGAAAAGGCTCTGCACTGTTGATACTCCCAGTGAGACCATCAGAATCCAGACCGTGTTTCAACCTTATTCAGCTCCTCTGATACATATTCACTTTTAACTCTGCACTGATTAATAATGGAGGGGGCTCTGATAAATATATTCTCTTTCCAGGCGGTTAATAGGCTTCTGCTATGGTAAATGGGGCAGGGGTAAACCACGCATGCACTCGGAAAGCAGCGGCAGACACCAGCATGCTTGTGTTTGCTCTTCCTCACCATGTAATTTATGTGTGCTCCCCCCAAAATTGCTGTGTGTTAGTTTACAGATGCAATGTTTTCCTAACCTCTCTGTGTTAAGTTTATGGGAGACCATTTTAGGTGCTTAGACTTCAAAGGTGCTGAAAGAACCATGAAATTGGATAAAGCAACATGAGTGAAATTATAAAAGAGCAAATAGTTAAAATGTATTCTGGATTTAATGGCTCAGACATTTTTAGATGCATTTGGGAAGGAGTGAAATGTTCCCTTGCTTGTACCTGAAAAATACACGTGCTGCCACGTTCATCATGGCTGCACAGGAACACACACAGACACAGACACACACACACACACACGATGGATGTTCAACCATTTCACTATATTTGATGATATCCTCCATAACGATGTTTAATTTCAGTTTTTTGCAGTTGTTTCATTTTCAGGTAATATTCATTGGAACTGTAGCTGTAGTTTTAAAGGTCCCATATAGTATAAAGGTAGATGTCCATGTCTTCTTTGATCATAAAGCAGGTCTAGGTTCTATATTAATACTGTGAAAGTATCAAAGCCTCAGTCCACAGAGAAATGCACACAGCCTGTATTTAGAAACTGAGCCTTAAAACCAGCCGTCAGGACTTCTGGAACTTTGTGATGTCACAACAAAGCAGTCCCTGCTCTCTGCCATGCCCCAAGCCCCGCCCACCTGGACCCACCATCCAACCTTACCAGATTTTGTTTCTGTGAGTGTTTACCTGAAATCTGCTGTATTTTTTATTGGATCATTCAAAAAAACAGTCAGCCAATCAGAAGAGAGGCTCGGAGTCTCTTCTGATTGGCTCACCAACCTGTTGTTACTTGAGCTGTAGAGAGATGCATGAGAGAGAAACACAACTTGACTTCAAAATAAAACATAAGAAAAGTGTAAAGTAAGTGTGCAAAGGTTCACATTATCATTATTCCTGAAAGATCCACCACTCTCCACTGAATGGAGTAACTGCTTCTTAAATGATCCCTCACCGGTTTCCCACCTGTAAACACTGGCATTTGTTTATTTCAGTATGTCCAGAGATACCAGGAGGCAGGAGTCAGTCACTGCTTGCTTTCTCTGGCAGTAAGAAGTCAAGCCACATTATGCATAAGAAAATTCTCGGCACATAAATTTTAAATGGAAATGACAATAGAGAAGAAAGAAAAACATTAGGGATGGATAAAAACGCTGCATTCGTTGCCTTGAAAATTAAAATAAATTTTTAAAAAATGAGAATTTATTTTCATGTTTCAGTGGGCCTCTTTTTGATTACATGGTCTGAGGAAAAACAAACAAAAATCAAATAAAAGTTTAGTTAAGAATAGTTCTGATAAATAAATTAAAAAATAGTTTAAAATTTAAAATAGAAGACATTATGCAGTAAAAAAAAAGAGAACTGTGATAGTGAAATATTAACATAAATTCAGTAATACTTTACTTGCAAAATACAAAGGTGCTATTACTTTGATGGTTTTTTCTCATGCATGAAGACAGGTCAGTGTTTGACTCCACTTCACAGCTTTTCATGGACAGGTACAACATAGAGGAGAAGTCTAGGCCACCTGAATATCTCTAAGCATCAACTCAATTATTTAAGACTTTGAAAAACATCTCAAACGTTTTAGCGGCTTGTTGTTTTACACTTCTCCTGAACTCCTGTGGTCAAACATTCCCATCACTGCTTTCGTTTGGGATGTGACACAACTAGAAGCCACCACAAGCTACAAACAACACACCAATGGGCTGAGATACCATCAGTTTTCATCTGTTTATTATGGTAAAGCAGAACTGAAAGGCAAAGTCTACAGTGTTCAGCTACTCTGCAAAGAACACTATTCAATATATATTTACACAGCAACCCCATATTAGTTCAGTTCCTATTTTACTGTATCCTCTTACACAGTTACAGTTTCCAGTTAGGTTCCTTTAGTGTGACCTTCAATAGTTAAGTAAAAGTACCACACAATAACACTAACAAACCAACCAATCAGCAACCAGCAACTCCCTTAATTCTGCAAAGCAAAATAACTGTTTTCGTCATTAGAAAGGTGGTTTTGAGAGATCGATATGATAGCTATTTCTGGTTAAAGAAAGGATCTTACTCTTTCTCTGGATGTACTTTGATGCAAACAAATGCACCATTTGATTGCATCGCAGCAGCTGTTTAGCGGTGGCCATGTATTCTGTTCTTGGTCAAGAGCAGACCCTACCAATCATTTACACCCAAAAATATGGGAGAGCATGGCCCATGTTCACAGGTCCAGAGGTGATCCTTTGCAGGCTGTTTTCACATTCCTCTGTTGACAAGGTTTAAAGTTAGAATGAGACTGTCTTCCTGTAAAACCAGCCTATAGGTCGTTTGAGCAGCAGGTTATTATGAGCCATAGATACGTTTTGTTGCTAGATGACATCTAGTGGCCGTAGCAAGTATGACAGGAGCAAAGAGAAAAGTGTGGTGTCCATCTAAGGAGGAGGTTGTGGTGGATGAATGGGTCAACAAAACACAGGGATATGACAGGAGAGCAGTGTTCGATTCCCATGTGAAAGTAGCAGTTTATATTGTTTCTATTATCCATGACAAAGATTACTACATTGGTATTATTGTAACCATGACAACAAAGATTTTTTGTCAGATTTTTAGTGTTGAGGAAGTACTTATTTCATCCCAAGTGACAATCTATTCCTAAACCTAACCGAGCCATGACCATTACTATAGTAACCATGGCGAGGAACATAGGTATGCTGCTGTCGGTACAGTCTGCGTGTTTATTATTGTAACCATGACAACCAAGGTCCAGTACGCCTGCAGTTGTAGGGGCGCTATTTCAGGAGACACTCATGGGTCGTACCAGAGGGTTGAAAAAAAACGACCTGTATGGTTGTTGAGGTTGGAGGAGTGGTTGGAATGAACTGATGGACTTCAAGTTAGAGGTGTGCAGATATGAGTCCGAAATGTTGCAGTCATCATAGACCAACATGCGAATCATGACAGTGAAAAAGAACATGGTCACTTTTTAAATAATTTGAGATGCTCTAACTAAGACTTCAACACATTTGTGTTTGAACATTATTTCCGTCATTTATCATTCACCATATGATGCAGCACATCTCAGATGTCAGCACGGCTGCTGAAAATGACCTTTGACCTGTTTTCAGCCGTATTCACATAATAACATAAGATGTGGACCAGGCAGGACTGGCAGAGAGAGAGCATGATGCTTTGCTTCTTGTTCTGTGTTATGAGTGTGAGTGAGGGAGAGGCAGGGAGTAATATAGACTCAATATAATAACTGCCTCTGAGTTCATTTTAGTTATTGTATTTTTTGTGCAAACTTTTTAATGTAATATGTGGTGATGAAGAGACAAGCATTTGACTAATTTAGTGATATTTTCAAGTGACACTATGGAAAGCTTAGATATCCTTTTCAGTGGAGTGACACACAGTAACTTGGGAACGTGCTCAAAGCTTTGAAACCAGTAAAACATGATGGATTTAGCAGTTTGGGACGTGAGCCAGTAGGTGTAAGATGAGCAGGAGCTGGGGGGCAGCTTGCAGAAAAGGATTTACCAGCTCAGTTTCCTTCCAGTGTTTACCGAGGAATCGTGTGCTGAGACAAAAATTTCTGGATTTTATTTAGAGACATCGGGCTGACACGGCTTCAAACCTAGAGGGAATTGCAGTCTTAGCAGTGCACATTTCAGCTAAGACAATTTGAGCAACTTTACACTGAAGTCCGTGGCTTCTGGGGCTCTGCCAAGAAGTTGATTGAAGTTAAATTTGCTATTTTTAACAATGGAAACAAGTAAAACATCCAAAAAGAAGAAGAAGAGGAAGAAGAAGAAGAAGTAATTATCTGAATCACATGTATTTTGTAAATATATTTTGTAAATAGATGTATCTGCAAGTGACGGCGGCTTTGGAGCCATTTTGCTACCAGAGGCTACATCTCTGTCGTTCTTCTCCCCAAGTACAAGATATAAAATTGTCCAGTTTTTTCCCCACTTGGCTCTTCATAGTTACAGTCTTTAAAACTGGATCGTGACAAGGATGTGCTTTAGCATTAGCATTGCTCATTGCTATTAGCATCGGTTGGTAGGTAGCTTTACAAAGCCCAGCAATATAAAAGAAGATCATCTGAAGATAAGGGTGTGTAGACTTTCAACACAGGTCACACAACGGTCTGTTAATTTCTCCAGTTCCATCAGCACATATTATTAGCTTTCTTAGCTCTCTTCAAAGCCTATTAATATATGTTGATATTATAAACAGTAGGGTCCAAAAGTCTGAGACCACTCAGGAAGATAGAGAAGTTTATAATTAATGAGAAATTTATAAGAAAAACATATATAAGCATATAGACT